ACGCGTGGGAACTTAACGCGTAGGAATTCCACGCGTGGCGATATAACGCGTGGGAACTCAACGCATAGAAATTCGACGCGTGGGAACTTAACGCGTAGGAATTCCACGCGTGGCGATATAACGCGTGAGAATTCTACGCACAGGAATTCCACGCGTGGCGATATAATGCGTGGGAACTCAACGCATAGAAATTCGACGCGTGGCGATTTAACGCGTGGGAACTTAACGCGTAGGAATTCCACATGTGGCGATATAACGCGTGGAAACTCAACGCATTGGAATTCGACGCGTGGCGATATAACGCGTGAGAACTCAACGCGTAGGAATTCCACGCGTGGCGATATAACGCGTGGAAACCCAACGCATAGGAATTCCACACATGGCGATATAACGCGTGGAAACTCAACGCGTAGGAATTCGACGCGTGGCGATATAACGCGTGGGAACTCGACTCTTGCGAATTCAACCCGTAATGATTTAACATCTGATAAATTGGCAGAAACCTGCCAACTAAAAATCTACTCTTAGCGATTCACCCACGGCAATATATCGCATAGCCACGCAACAGCAATCTTGTCCTCTCTTTTATCATTCGGCAAACATACGACCCATTTTCCCCGCAGATAACGATACAATAAGATGACAGTCTCGCACGGAAGCACGTTCCCAAGAATCGAGCACAATACGCTCGTTCACGCATCTCTGGTGAAATCGAACGAGAAGCTCCACTATCATTTGACCTATCCAAGTAAAATTCATACAAGTATGATGCGCGAAATGAAGAAGAAAGAGCGCAAACACTATGTAACTGTTCGCCTAAATCCTGGCTGTCAGTGGATCGCGTTCAAACCGAACTTCTATTTAACGTTTGCGGCGTCCGCGTTTAGCGCCGCGTTCCCGCGGAACGCTTTCAAAAGTACTCGAAACCTCCGAGCGAGAGTAATTTCCACAATTAGCGTTCGCCTCTCCACACATGCTGCGCAAACATGTCTGTACACACGTTTAAGTATGTACGAACATATGCGGACACGTGTGTACGTGCCGTGTCTTATTTATAGTGCTCACGGTATGTCCCGCGATTTTAAGGTTTCCTAAAGTATCCGGTTAGGTTAACGATGCTTCTTAGAACGCGCTTTATTACTTGGGGGTTGTTCAAGTTTTCGGTACCGAGACTATAATGTCGTTCGTGTAGAAATATTGCCAGGAAATAGTACCAAATATTCGAACATCATGCTAAATCTTTTCATTTAACGTATCTTAACATACGATCTACATAACTTAGCCAAATTTATCTTAATTCAATCTCATCTAATCCTGTAAATATTTAACCTAATCAAGTTTAACTTGATTCAACCTCACCTAGCCCAATGTAATCTAGCAAATTTGAACGATAACATCTAATCTAAAACATATGAGCGATAAAATCTTTACCCTCCATCCTTAGGAACTCTGTTAGCTTTCAACATCCGAATGAAGTTATCGATATAGCGTTAAATATCGATAAGATATCGATGACATATCGATAATCGATAGCGACTCTATTCCACGTATAGTAATCGCATTTCAAAAAAAAAAAAAAAACATTGCGCCTTTCCCTGTGCCCGTCAAATCTCGTTTAGCAATGCGCGAGCGTACATGTGCACACGTACACCCACGGGGTCGATTCTCGATTCAGCGAAGCGTCGATTTGCCGCATGCCCGACAGCGTTACTTTTGTATGGAGCTACGGAACCGCGTAACACGCCTACACACACACACACACAAGCGCGCGCGCGTAAATAATTACAACCTTCTAGAAGAGCGGAGCAGAGCAGGCCAGCAGAGTAGTAGTAGTGCTAGTAGTAGTAGGAGGTGGAAGGCGAAAGGAGGAGGAGAAAGGAGGGCCAAACGAGCCACAGCTTTCAAAAAGCATCCCACCGATAATACCCATATTCCCAGCCATCGAGACCCGCAGAGCTGCGCAAAATTCCAGACTCTCCGCGTTCTCTCTTCCCTCTCTTTCTCTTTCTCGTTTACCTCTGCTATGCGAGAGGAGCGGAGATCCAGGCGGTCGCTACTGGTTCCCCGTGCTACGCGCGGCATCGCCGGGAGCGACGATAATATAAAGCTCGTCGTTCTAGCCGTCGCGGCGCTACGTTGGAGGCGTGCGACGGGACTCGTACACACGCGACCAACACACGTACACGCACCAACGGAGATCCCATACCAGACAACATCTATGCCAGTGATTATGAACGTTGCGTTGATCAAAATGCAACAAACTGAGCCTTCCTGTTACGTTGACTACGGTTCATCATCGCGTTCCAAACCTCGGCACCTATGAGCTCCTGGCAAGCACTTATGGACCTACGAACACTTATGAACACCAATGATCACCTATGAACACTTAGGAGCACCTATGTACACCTATGAGCATATATAAGTACCCATGAATACCTATGAAGACCTCTATCAACACCCATGATCACATATGCATATTCACCTATGAGCACCTATGAACACTTAGGAACACCTATGAACACTTAGAAGCATCTATGTACACCTATGAGCACCTGTAAGTACCTATGAATACTTATGAAGACCTCTATCAACACCCATGATCACATATGCATATTCACATGTGAACACCTATGAGCACCTATGAACACTCATGAGCACCTATACCTATGTACAGCTATGAGCACCTATAAGTACCTATGAATACCTATGAAGACCTCTATCAACACACATGATCACATATGTATATTCACATGTGAATACCTATGAGCACCTATGAACACTCATGAGCACCTATACCTATGTACAGCTATGAGCATCTGTAAATATCTATGAAGACCTCTGTGAACACTTATGATCACATATGTATATTCATATGTAAACACCTATGAGCATCTATGAACACCTATGAGTACCAGTGGAGCATCTATGAATACCTCTATGGTTACATATGACCACCTATGATCATTATCTTTGAAGACCTAATAGTTGATAGCACTTCGTATCGATACACTCACAATCTTTAATTAATACATTTTTAACCACTTCAGATCACATGTCGAAAGATGAGTGACAAGCAGTCAGGTTTTGAGAGGCATTTCGACTTGCCTTGTTTTTATTAACAGCACGATAGACACTTCATGGTCCATAGTTCATATACTTAACTCTCATTGAATTAACACTTTAGCGCTCGCACATTTCGCGGAATCTATGACTGAAGGCTTAATTTAACCCACTGACGATCTCTTGTGACGCGTAAGTATACGATTTTCTTTCCATCGCAGTTTTCAAAGTTCGGAACTTGGCATTTCCCAGATTTCCATGTCTCCTTTTCACCTTTTCACCTTTCGTTCTGGGTCACCACCGTGGAGAGCTAAACTAGTCATCGTGTTATCCAAAATCGCAATGTGACCTAGCGAGCCACAAATATTCACGTTCTAACGATTATATAATTCTATTACTCTCGTCAAAGTATAATTCTAATTAATAAGATCAAGAATTACAGCGCATATAAAAGCACCCTCTCGCTAGATGGACATACTAAAAGATACATTCAGAACGCTACGAAGATTAACGGTGCGCTAATATACAAAACTTTACCCTGACGTA